TTGGCTTCCATGTCAAGTTATGGTACAACAACAAATTTCTGATAATAGACCATGGACATCGAACATACATTTAAAGCAAATTATTTATTAAAACATCAAGGAAAAAATGAAATTAAGTATTGGGCGTAGGAAACGATCTTTTACCGATATATTTGTTATTCATTTGATTACCATTGGTTTGGTGGTTTGTAGACTAATCCCACCTAGAATCTTCGATCACAATCAAACATCTGATTCGTAGTCTATATTTAGAACAATATTACAATACAATTAAATAAATAATAAATCAGTACGTCTATGTCTTATTCCAAAAATACAAACTTTATCCTTCAGTTGTCACGATCTTGATGAAAATATCGTCTCTGAAATACCTGATAAGACCATGATGAAATTATCTCACCTCATATTGGGTTGCTGGTAATAGGATTGTCTTTGACACACATTTTCCTAGAAAGTAACAGACCGAAATGATATCAAGGCACCTACAGAGCCGTAACTATATCAAGACAAATGAGGAAAATGCTTCATACCAGCTTCAGACTGACCTCAATGTACCCCCATAATGAAAGAGAATGTTGCAATCACAGTTATTAGTTAATATCAACAAATTAGATTGAACAATCTATTGTGGTACGTGCCCTACAATGCGTGAAAAATCAAACGGATGTCTATTACCGTTGGATAATTATTTTTTTCGCAAAGTTTATGAATGAACTGGAAGAATAATCACCAACATCACCCAGAATAAATTATCGTATTCTTGTATAAAATTGTGTGATACAGAGTAAATTTAACCTAGGGTCTTACGTTGGGTTGGAAGGGAAATTTAAGGAGGTTTGCTTCCAAAGTTTTTGCTATAGTTGTCGAGTCATTGGGATACCAAAGGCCACAAAAAGCAAAACCTTAGTACTATGTGGTGAAAACCTTAGTACTTCTAAGTACTACGTCGCTATGACCCCACCTGGTCTAAATAAAATAAAAGAGTGGGTTTCATCATCGTGTCTAAAAGATATCTTGTTTATCGTGTTATAATGATTACCTGTGTATATAGCTTGGTTATAATTCTTTGATCATTTTTCTGATATTAGGGTGGTTTTGTAGTAATTATCGTGTATTTTGTCTTATTTCTTGAAATACTTGGCATTACAAACGCAATAAAAAAGATCTCACTACAGCACAAACACGTGAGTGGAATTGACACAGATAGTAGGCTAAATATTGACCCTCATATTTTCCATATAAGGACGATTCTTTTGACAAATTTTTTCATTGTTGAAATAGTGCTTAATACGAATAAAGATGATTTTACAAGTAAGAATTCATCGAGATATAGGTGACATAACGGATGCCACATGAGACATTAATCTAGGTGTTAATGGATGTGCTGGAAAAGTGTCCAGAATCTCACGTTTTCTTTGGATGACATACATTATAATCTATCAGACAGACTTCTGCTGTCGACTCATGATCATTGTCAATCACCTGCTTGATGATACAGGGCGGGTTCCACTATTCAACTTCTTGTGCGTGAATAAGGTAGGGAACTTTATGAAAAGAATCACTAATACCACCTTGCTGTGGGACTATTTTGTATTAATGGTTTGTGTCTCTTTGCATGCAGGTTGTAACTTACGTGTTGGTAGGATTATGGATGGACCATGCTTGTTACACATTTATTAACTTTTCCTGGATTGAATGCCCAGAGCCGCAGTGTCTCAGTCATTTAGATGTTTGCTCGTTAACTTGAAGGTTCAGGGTTCAATCCGGGCAGGATCAAGATAACAACAGCTTTTTTTTTATCCTGTTACGCCTTGTCAGCGATGCAGATCGAAGGGGCGAGAGGCTGGCACAGAATGCGCCTAATCGTTCGGATTGAACAATAAGCCGTGGCTCCATTTGCTACAGACTGCATGCATCTTTAAATATGGCTTTAAGGGCTACATATATTATTATTACTTATCGGTATGAAAACCATATTTGGCCTACCAAGGAGACATATCCGAAATGTTGCAGATCATTTTGTTTTGAATGGAATACCTTGAAATAATGATTTTCATGTCTCGAGGTTTATTTGATAATAGTCATATATTTTATTGATTACGTCTTATAAATCTGAAGAGTTCTGTGACGACGTAATTTCTGGTTTTTGCGGTTTAAGACGCTTGAGAAGATTCTTCTTCCATCTAATACCGCAGTTTTCTTTCTACTTCATGTGATTATTCCATTTTTTTCTTTTCATATTTCGTAGTCTGTAACGGTTATTATTACAAGATTTGGTTTTGTCTTTAAGACAATGTCTTTATTAAATTAGCTTTCTGCGGACTATTTGTTGCTGAGAGTTCGGCAAACACTCTTGATGTTACAGATGGATTTCCTTATATTTAAGTGCCAAATTAAGCAAACTATTTGGTTAATTGGTGTTTCTAATAAATTATAATGTATTCTTCATCATATCATTATGTTCTTATTGCATATAATTAAGAGTTTTAACCAATCATAAATGTCAATGTACGTACAGCCTGGATACCCACAAAAAAAGACATTTTGACCTTTCTTGATCGGTCATTCATTGGAATTCTGCTGGTAGTTCTCTTCTAATTTAGCTAATTGTGAATTAATTAAGGACATGTGAGACAAACTTGTATTTTTCTTCTATTTTTCTTCTATTTATATAAGTATTAGCATTTTCATTTTCATAAATGAAAATAGGGGAAGTCATCTTTAAAGGGACAGATTCGCCATCCGATTGGCGGAAAATACACACATTCACTACCTCTATACAAAAATCCATGACTGTTTTATGGATGCGATGCAGTTTTATGCGGTGTAAGGTAACTGAGTTGAAATTTTTATTCTATCACTCTCCAAATGATTCCGCACCCCACAAATGGAATCGTGTTCGTTTGACCAAACTTCTCCTGGCTGCGACTCTAACTGTGTGATGAATTTCAAGTTCGCAAAATTGCATACACTGTTACATGAAAGTGCAAGAAATTCTCATTATCCCAACATGATACCTAGTTACATTTAATGACACACGAAGGATTATATGTCATTCAAAGCAAGGTTTTATCTTTAAAGTATTATCCTAGTTGATATTAATGTAAAGAAAAAAGACATACAGCCTAACAGAAAAACCCACAATGAGAACCAAACAATATGGTAAAGAGATAGTGAGTTGGACGTTGCATAGGGATATGCTATTATTTTATTGGTTTCCTTGTTTGATGGTTTACTTGAAACGTTGACCGTTTAATATTGTCGCTTTTCCTCCACTGTGAAATGGTTTATTATCACCAACGGACAACACTCGATGGAAGATTTCTGATGCGTGGAAAATCTGAGATATCGTAAACGTTCAACAGTCAAGAAAGTAGAATTCGGATGTAGACAAAACCATAGGAAATTGTTTCGGTGGGTTCGTTTTGCTGCATTGCCCAACTGCACAAAAACGACTTGTTGAACGAAACTAAAGGTTTCTGATAAAATCCGGAATGGCCATTTGTTTCACATGAAACGAGATATTTCAATCTGTTGTACCGCATGGATTTTCTTTTTATTTATAATTTGGACCTGTTAGGAAGTCGAAACTATAGTTTTTTTTTTGTCCGATTTTGATGAAACTTGGTGAAAATGTAATTATGACGCAAAGGTGAACCGTTTCGACAGTCCGTATCAAATATTAGTGATTGGAAATTGTCCTTTAATAAATAGCTGTCAGTGGGCGCATGTAACATTGACATACAAATTGATGTTATTTTCAGTCTAATACAAGGCTTCTCAACCGGGGTCTATATGCACCCCTAGGGTGAATACGAATTTCTTGAGGTGCAATTTGGAAAGAGGGGGAATTGGTGGTGAATTATAGACAAAGAGGGAAATTGTCCAAATGGACATCTTGATCTTCAAAATGACAAAACAGCTGAATTTAACCAAAAGAGCAAAGCACCAGTTCATGGGGTTGACGAAGAAAAAAGAAATCTTTGATAACTTTGAAAAACATGAACACAAATTACTATTACCTTCCCTAATTTGTATCCTGCGTTTATCACTTGACCAAAACTTTGTTTTTAAATGGATAGTACATGTATATAGAGCTTGGGGTGAATGGCTAAAACAAATTTCTTAGGAGGGAAGTGGGTCATAAAGTTTGAGAAGCACTGTTATATCTAATGCATCCTTTCTCTAAGGGACAAGATTCCGAAAGACTATGTCATTGGGTTCTCGTCCCTATAGACGGAGTTGTTTCACTCTCAAAACTAAATAGAATGTTATAATATTTAGATTGTAAATCACTCTGTTGATTATTTCACTTTAGTATTAGTCGATCAGTTTCCAAGCAACATTGAACAAATATAATGATAGTAGTGAAATACATTTGAAAACTAGTAATTACCATTCTCGGCTAAGGAAGACAGACTAGGGAAAGATAGATCGCAGAGTTGTGCCATTCACAGCAGTCGAAGCATTAAAGGCAATTATTTGTACTGAAAATAAGGTTTCGACGCCTTTCTAATTTTTTATGGAATCTTTTGGATGTGCTGTAAATGTCTAAAGGGTTCAGAACATTGGGGATTCCATCGATTTCATTATCCAAATATAAGCGACGAGCTTATATCAATCTCCGTAACGGATGCTGTACAATATTGATTGATGAATCCCGATATTAAATGAAAGTTATTATTTCTATTACAGATTGTTTAGGATAATATAATGCAGTAGAAGATTTCAGTGAAAGTAGTCATCTAGAAGATACGTGCTTACTCTTTCCTCGACCACCTTTTCGTGGTCAATAACTCAACAATTCGGTCGCTCCTGAGATTCGCCTATCAAGACATCTTACCGTCGTTTTATAAGTAATGGTTATTGTCTACGTTATTACGAATCTGAAATAACAAATGATCTTTAATTGCATATTCCAGCAAACTGCTTATTCTTTTTTAGTTAAATTGGAAAATGTGTGACTAACCAGCCTTGGGAATATCGATATTAAGATGGCGATGTATGACCTAAATTATGACTACCCAGAATACAACTATAACAGAAGTGATGTATATTTTGTGTCGTCGAATGATACAGATCATTTGATTGGTTTAGCACATGTTCTGAATTTGTACCTAATTCCAATTATAGCTATATTAGGAATTCTAGGAAATTTGTGCTCAGTGCTTGTGTTTTTGTGCTCACCATTTCGATATTTTCCGTGCAGTATGTACCTAACTGCGGTGGTGGTTTCAGACACTGGGTTTCTGTCCGCGCTTTTACTGGGATGGGCGATAAGCCTGAAACCAGATTTGACGTTAACACCCGGATGTTGTCATATTATGGTTTATATCACGTATGTTTGCAGTTTCCTGTCTGCCTGGTACGTCGTACTAATGATGTTAGAACGTTACATAGTTGTGTGCTATCCGTTACGAGCTCCTGTCATCTGGAACAAGTCAAAATCAAGAGTTGCTATTTGTGTGATAACGTTTATAGCTGTTGTGTTATATTTACATAGCTTTATAACGACTGGTGTGATCGAGACACCCTATGGTCATACATGTACGTCACTTCCGTCTTATTTACGATTTGTCGTCATTTTCACATATGTAGACTCCGTCATCACGTTTGTTGTGCCTTTTATCGCAATCTTGTTTTTTAATCTACGGATTATTTACGCGATCCACAACTTCCGGCGGAAACACCAATTATTGCTATCACATGGTCATCCGAAACGCTCGTCATTTATCGGAGTATTGTCGCAGGCTCAGATCCGATCGACGAAGATGATTGTTCTTGTTTCCAGTGTTTTTCTTGTTCTTTATTTACCAAGCTACGCGATTAGATTGTACATACTGATTAAAGTTTTAATTCAGAATTCAGCGCCACGGGATGAAAATTATCAGCTGGAGATCGCTCAACATATCTGTCAGTTTCTCTATTATTTGAACTTCGCTGTGGATTTTTTTGTCTACACAATTTCAAGTCGAAATTTCAGACGAAACATTTCAAGACTGGTGAAAAAGATTTTCAGAATTCAGTAACTGAACTAAATGATTGACGACGGTGAAATCCAGCTTGGTATCTTGAAACTGTATATTATAATAATGTGAAATACAAAATAAAATGGAATTGAAATTATTGTCGCAGGGGTCAAGAACTGGCTATAAGGGTGGTGAAATGTAGGCGAAATGTATATTTTTTGCGTAGTTTGATAGCTGGTTGCCACCTGCACAATGTCAAACTATTAAGAACTTCGTCTTATACCTTGACTGCAATAGCCACCTTTCTTGTGTCATAGAATAAAAGGAGTGTGCGCCAGTGGATACAGCCAATCAGAGGTCTCGACAGAAAATCAGTAAACAACCAGTCACAATATTTATAGTATTTCTGTCCAGGGCTGTAATTGGATGCATTTGCCAGCGTACAATCCAAAGGAATTGTTAGGTAGCTTTTGCAGTCAAGGTATAAGAAGAAGTTTGTAATAGCCTGATATTTTGAAGAAGAAGAACAGACTCGTGTTTGCAAGATTTCGCCAAGATATGTGGATTTTCTCTTAACGGTGAAAAATACGGTCTTGAAACATAAGTAAATAATCGTTGCAGTTATTACTCTAAATAGAAAACTCACATGTTTCAGGACCTGCAGGACAGATTTATTTGAGAATCCTTCTTCACATGTACTTAACCCAGATATCATCTAATGATTCTAATCCCTATTAACAGGATAATAAGATTAGAAGCTTTATGAAATGATAGATCCAGAGATGTCTATATTTTGTACAGGATAATGACCCGAGGACGAGTTTTTATCCAGTAAGAAATCCCGAGAAAGAGAAAAGCAGTGCTTCCAAACCGGTGTCAATGCCTCCCAGGAATGGATTCGAAATTATCGGGGATGAAATTTGGAACTAGGGGAAAATTGAGCAGCAGTTCCAAAATATATTCACTAATCCTCAGAATTACTCCTGAGCTGATGTTTTCTCCTTGGACAAAGCACCAGATTGTGACTTGGCAGAAAAGGCATCGAATACTATCCAAATTGGAGTGCACATGCATAAAACTTGGTATCTGGGGTGTGTGCATTTAGCACTGAGAGGTCTTCTAGGGTATATAATAATCTTCACATCTTCATTGCACTTTTTGTGTCAATTGGTTTTATATGTTCTTAAAATATAAGTTTGGCTTCGAATGATCGGAAAATTTTTCACCGACTTTAGCCTTAAATTGGGACATTGTGCCATCTCTTGCTTTCTTTTAAAAAAGAAGGCTTTGTCTGATTTTATGCACATATGTAAAGATGATTATGCCTTTCGATTTTTCAATGAAATTGTATGACGATTTGGATGGGTCCATCTCGTGCTCACTCTACAGAAAAAGAATTTGTCGGATTGTTTTCATTTTATATATGTGGGATTGAAGCAATGCAAAGATGATACCCTACGATTTTCGTGATCAACGGACAAAATTTTACTGATTTTCAGCCTTGTTTTGGGCGGAGTCCATCTCGTGCTCACTCTACGGACTAAAGTTTTTGTTTCATTGTTTCGTTTTAAATATATGGGTTGGTATCAATGTAAAGATGATGATCAATTTTCTCGATGATCAGACAATATTTTGCCAGTTTTCAGTCTTAAATTTGCACAAATTGACTCATTGGATGGGTACTATCTCATGCTAACTCTACAGATTACAGATTTTGTGGCTATTTTTTTATTTTTTGACTGGTGATGATCGGGATGATCGGACAGTTAAGTTGAAACTTGCATAAAAGCTAAAGGACATCTTCCTCTACATGTTGACATGCAGTTTTATATTTTTCGCGTTCCAAACCACAAAAACCGATTGAAAGAAACACAGAAACCATTTCAAACCTCGTTCGTATCCTACATACTTCGTACTTCATAATTCATTCATGTGTATTCAGGTTAAACATCAATTCCATTATACTGTCCCCTTTCAACATAATGTCAAACCTCTAAATTGATTGAGCAGCTAATGTGTTTGAAAGTGTATCGGATCTCTTCTCCGATGTTGTTGTTTCATAGGAAAATCTATTTAAACCGCCGTGTATTAGTATCAATGTCTCAAGGGTAGAATGTTTATCACAATTCCAATCTATCTTTAATGTGTGGGTTTATGGTAATAGAGTGACTAATTCACTATCGGTGATGAGTGAAATTGGAGCCATCTGATAAAAAAGGAATTTCCAAAAAGTTTAACAGATTTCACCCAAGATATTGCAAAGTTCTGCATGTCTGTACGTCTGTACGTATATCTGTATGTCTTAATTGAATATGTTTTAGAATGTACCAAACGTTTTATGACGGTAATTATTGATAAAACATAAAACAGTACACAATGAGCTGTTTGGAAAGAATAACACGACCGAAGGTTTTTGTGATATTCAAAAACCTGAATCCACAGGGTGTACAGATGGAAAGGGTTTTAAATATCACTCTAGAGAAAGTGTTTTATTTGAACAGAAGAACTCATTTGGATGTGTTTTTTTTTTTGGTTTAAAAAATACTAAATAATAATGTATTAAGGGGCGCAACTTGTGCAATCAAGTCTCGATGAGTTCATCTTGCCTGGACATCTACCAGTAAGCTAACTTTCTATTTGTTAAGATTTTGTCTTTTTAATACAAATTCTCTACAAGGTCCAAGAAAAACCACGGGGTATAAAATTCCATGAGTCGTTACAATTATGTTGACATCGGTTTGGACCCAATCTTACGTATATAATCCAAAACATGAATGTGAATGAGAAGTATTCTGGCAAAGGGGTGCAACTCGTATCCACAAACCGATCAATTCAGCCGACGACCAGTGAGCTAGACTTTTTATTTCAATGGGCCTTCTGGAGTCACTTCACTCACAGATTATTACCCCACGTGATAGACAAATAACTTTGGTAACCTTTTAGAACGATACACACGTACATGTAATAATATTGAAATAACTATATATTTACATGGTACATGGCATTATGGTGCGCAACTTTAATAATCCCTGTGATACAACTTTGTAACATAACCAAACTCATGTACATCATTTCTATGTGGACACATTTTATAAACAGTTTCTTTAAAGTTATATTATCAATGTTTTTGATGATGTTTCACACTGTTTTGACGTTACTACTTCTTCTCAGTCAGTTTCTCGATTTAATTCACCTTTTGGTTGAACTGACTTGACGACTAATTAGACTCAAAATATTTCAGTCATGCAAACAGTTCTCATTTACAGTAACATATCTAGGTCTTCATCATTTTATATACAATATATTATACAAAATAACATGGTTATAATAATAATAATAATGATTATTAATAATAATAAAATAACAAAATAATAATGGTTTCACAGAGACGGAATCGTACATCGAACGCAGCCAATCGCTTGAATAAACGAACGTACACATATAAATAAATCGATGTCGATATGAAGAGTTAGGTCAAGAAGATTAAATACGATGTCTGAAATAGATAACCTTGAACCAATTCATCATAAATTCTGGACTCCATTTCCGTTACAAGAACTAACCTTTTAGCTTCCATCGGAAATTAAAAGTTGGTGAAACCTGGTAACAGTCCAGTAAAATGACAAGCTGTCAAAGACAAGTAATGATTTAATATTGGGGTCAACTCAATGACCATAAAGATGGCTTTAAATCCACAAATCGAGGTAATAGAGAATACTTTATAGCAAAAGAGAGATCTATTTAGTCTAAAATATTCCAGCATCTGCTAGATATATAGACAGTTATCTGTTGCAGTAGAGTCTGAAAAACTAGGCCTTGTTTTATGGAGATTTTTACACTTCTATAGAACCAGAGTCGTGACATAACTACGAAGGTATTTAACTTTTCGAATATATTTGGTTTTAGCGGATCCGATTTGAATAAATAGGATTAAAACCCCCGCACCTTCAGAGGTGCATAAAACAAGGCCTAGTTTTTCTGTCTCTACACCGGCCAACAAGATCTACAATTTGTTTTGATCTGTGGAATACAGGATAATAGCTAACCACCATTGATTTCAAGAGTGGTAATTAATCAACCGATTTTGCAGTAGTTTTACAAAGAAGCTATAAAATTTTTAAATGTGTTTATTTAATGTTTTCTTTAAGTGTATTCTCTTTTTTCCATGAGGATAGGAACGTTCAACTACAATGGCTTGTATGTTCTAGACTGCACCTATAGAAATTAAAAAACTTTTTTGAAAGTAACTTTGGAATGCCTCTCTTGATTTTTGTTAGCAAACCGTAGTTCAATGGACTGTATACTTTAGGCAGATGTCACACCCCTATCACTTCAGATTGATGCTAATAGCTCTAGAGAACTCTCAGATGTTGTTAATATTTTTGCGGCAAAGGGGACAACTCGTGCTTGATAAAAGCAGTCTGCAACCAGGGAGTTTTTTTTTTGACGTGTGTTATCATTACACTCAGTTCCAGGAATTTTAAAAAATGTAAAATGTGAGATTTAATATACCAACAGGATAGTAAGATGTCGTTACTGGAAGTTTGAGATTCCCTGTATTATTTAATACCAAATAAAAACTATGAGCATGCACCAAATGTAATCAAAGTACGATTGAAGCCGTTAAAGTATATTTCATCACCCAACATATTAACATTGACGTCAAAACGAAATCAAAAATAGCCTTTTAATCTTTCCGGTTTGAAAAGTTGAAATTGAATTATCAAAAATCCTTTTAATAATGACTTGAAAGATGAAGACAAAAATAAGACAATTTAATTATTTTATTACGGAAAAAATACATTTTCATAGATTTTATATAAAAAGATATTCCATTTAATTCTAATGTGCTTTTTACAAAAAAAAAAGTTTCCTTCCTCACACTTTTACAGATAAAAAACGCGATAAAAATTGATTAGATATACTTTCTTTAGAATATGCCAAATAGCTGGAAACAGAGATAAAACAAGACAAACGTTAGAAGTATAGATTTCACTAACATCTTCTATACAAATTGACGCGAGCAATGAGAAAGTTTTAAGTCTGAGGTTTTAATTTGT